AGGGGCACTGCCCGCCAACGGCGGTTACTAACCCCCATCCAAGCGTCAGGCAGGAGTCGAGGGGAGGCAGGCAATTTCGGCCTCTTCGCGTCCTCTCCTGGAATCCAGGCCACCTGGGGGCTCAGCAATGGTCGGAAATCAAGGACTGGCTTCAAGCAGAGGCGCAATCAGTGTGTGATGTCCTTTTGCTCCAAGAAACTCACTGGTCTTCAACGTCGCAATTTCAGGTTAGCGGTTGGACCTGCATCTCTTCCGCCTCTTCCAAGCCCCCAGCTCCAGAACCTAAAACCAAGACCCGTGGCAGGAGAAAGCGAGAGCAGCCTAAAGCCCCCGCGACCTCGCAGCCAGGTGAGGCCACGGCGGCTCCTTCCAAGGCAGACGGCGTCGTGGTCCTTCTGTCCCCTCGCATTGCCCCAGGACAGATTCGCTGGCGTGAGCATAGGGTAGGAAGGCTACTTGAGGTTAGGTTTGTTCATGCTGGCTGTCCATTCGTGGCATTGAATGCTTACCAGCACGTCTGGTCCTCAGCAAAAACTCCGCAGCAGAATCGTAAGGACCGCAGCTCCTTTCTGGCGACACTGGGTAAGGCACTACGGCAGGTCCCTTCTCGCACTTCGCTAGTCATGGCGGGCGACTTAAATGCCACCCTTTCCCCTTTCCCTCGGCTAGTAGGCCCACGCGTCTGCGGCACGGCCCCCAGGCCGGACAGTGAGGGCCTGCAGGAACTGGTAGAAATGCATAAGCTTGTAGCCCTTAATACGTGGCATGCAGCCGTACCACATACATACACGCAGCAGGGCTCCCACTCCCAAATTGACTTTATCTTCACTAAGGAGCCTCAGGCGGGCGGACAGGCCAAAAGATCTGCTCCACTCCACGACTGGCACTTAGGCAGCTGGAAAGTTGGCGGCCATGCCCCAGTCTTAGCTGAAATCAAGCCCTTAGGACACTGGCAGCTTCCTTCGCGGAAGAATGTATCAACGTGCGACGTCAAGCAACTACAGGCTGAGGTTCGAGGGAGCTCGGACCGGGCGAAACAGATGCGGGACTGAACCAATCCTGAGAAGTCAAGTTGCATCCAGCCCATGGGCCCGGCATCCAGTACTCAGGACCCCCGAGGTCAGAACGTGTTGTCCTGTTTAGCCGCACGTATGGCATGTGTTTTTCAGAACTGTGTGTGCACTATGTGGATTAGGGTTTATAGGGATTATGAGGTTTGAGGTTTCAGGGTTCAGGGGTCCAGGGTTCCATCCCGAAACTTACAACCGACAATTTTGAGGCTAAACATTTGAACCCCAAATCACAACCCTGTCCTGCGAACACTTCAAGAAAATCCAGACGATTGGTATCTGCATCCAACGGTCCAAAGCCTAGGCGTGGAAGCATCGCCGTTCTTAAGACATGATTCGATTTTCATTAAGCTAAGGCTTGCACTCAATCGCAGAACTGCCAACACCGCAGCCAGGCGAGAATATTTCATCTGAGGAACGTGTTCGGTGCTCTAAGTCGCATGCGATGCTCCCCATGTTCTACTTCGATACAAAACTATGTATGCAGAAACAGTATGAATGTAGCTGCCACCCAAAAGTATTGCATAGCCAAAACATTTCCTGAAGCCTGAGAGCACTAGAAGCAGAGAGCTGGGAAAGCATCCTTCTATCCAAGGCTGTCAGCCGCAACAACTGTCTTCGGCTCTGCACGGCGCGCGGCTGACATTTTGCGGCGCTGTCAGGACAACGTGCCAGCCTTTCCCCGGGCTTTGTGTGAGGAACTTAAGTCGAAGCTCTGTGAGCAAATCACAGGCGCACTTGAAATATTGGCAGGTTGGCTCACATTCAAAAATCTAGACGTACCTACGACGTTTCTTCTCAGACTCGGAAAGGGTGCTGAGGAACAGCTGTCGTTCATTGGAGTGCTTCCACCTTAAGGTTCGAGGCGTGGACAGATCGAACTAACACAAGTAGCATGTGCATGTTAAAATATTATCCCAAGGCACATCTCATCCCTGGCCTTCTTAGGCATAGATGGATCCAGCCTTGGCTGAAATATACGTTCCATGGGCAGGTGATATAGCATAGGAATTTAAGGATTTCAGAAGGCATGCGTTCACATTGCCCAGTAACGTTGCTAGGAACTTGTTTTTCTCCAAGGCATACGCAGTTGTTGAGGTCTTGCTTTCTTTGCCTGCTGCTGCTGCTGCTGGCGTTGCCTGGGTCTTTTTGGGCTTTGGCCCTGGCTTGGGTTTGGCTGCTGGCTTGGCCTTGGCTTTGGCTGCTTCTTTCACCTTTGTGGGCTTCTGCGACGCAACAAGAAGCCTTTGCCGGTGACAGTTCACAGGTGTATGCACGCCGCCCAGGCATGCATCATGCAGGCTTGTTGGCAGGGCAATGCTGGAGCTCTTGACATTGGGGAGCACGAACTCCTTAGCTAGAGACCAGTTAATACACCATGGAGGATGAGCACTGAAATCCATGAACAACGGGGGCTCAATCTGCAAAAAACCTTTAACTTCCATGCTGCCTATTTGCAGGAGGACCGGCATCAGAGCGCTGGCGAGCTCCATCAATCTTGCGGGCAAAACCAAGTACTCCATGGGTGGCAGGGATTCATATTTGATGGATTCTACGATAAGCCGATGCCGATTTCGTGAAAAGAGGCAGATCCCATCTTCTGGGCTAAGTATGGTTTATTACGGAGCTGTTTCCTACAGAGCTAGCCCAGGGCACTTAACCCTAAACCCTCCACCCTAAATCTAGAACACAGCCACACATAACCCAATCATTTAATCCTGCCTTCAGTTGACCACAAAACCCCACCAGATTGAAGCATGGCACCGCCTTGCTTGGAGGTTTGCCAGGAGCATTCGCTGGCCTGAGATAGTATACGTCTCCAGGGATCACAGCGTCAAGGTTTAGGTTTAAGTGTGTATTATAGGGTGCTTTAACAATGTAGTGGGTCAGCCGAGGGGTTCAACATGAGTGTGTCGGATGATCCCGATTGTGTGAGACAAGACTGTGTACATGTTCGGAATAACACTGTCCCGAAACATATGTGTACATGTATGTATATAATTGCTACCGAAGCGCGGTTTCGAACTGGCAGCAGTGGCAGCCTGCTCCTGAGATGAATATTATGAAGGTGGTCTTGTGAATGAATGTTATGAGTATTTTGCAGGGCAAGTGCAACATCACTATTTCTAAAGTGTTCATTCAGGAGTACCCTATTCGCCTGCATGCAGAACAGCGAAACATGCACTGCAGCCCGCGTCCTCTGATCTTTTCACAACAGCTTTGCAGATGTCGACGAACTTTGGTCCAAACTCCGTAGTCTGCAACTGCTTGACCAGCCCCTGCATGTTTTTTTAAGGCAGAGATTTTGGAAGGCTTGGGTGCACACACGGGATCAGGCTTGGGTGGTACCACTTTGCGGCTAGTTGGTTGGTAACGTTGTTCAGATAGAAAGTTCCAGTTTAGCTACCAGAATATCACAGAATCACTAAACAAAAGACCCCGGTCCTGCATAATCAAGTCTGGGTCATCCGGAGCGTCGACCATGGCAGGGGCAGGCATCGCAGCCTGACAGACAAGCACAAAAGCAGAATGCCCAGGCCACTCAACCGTACACGAAGACATGACAGACTACACTGGAATAACTTCTTGGACAGGGAACTCGGTGATCTTTTTTTACTTTGTACTTCGACCACCACAAGTCATAACGCTTAATTTGTTCTGGGTCAATCTCTTCCTCGTCGACCTTGGATTTCGCCGCCCCAGCCTCGCGTTTCTTTCTGGGCAGCGGCAGCGGCGTGGAAGATTTGGGGGAGGCATTCTTGCAAGGAGGCTTGGAGACTGGGGTAGCGGGCAGGGACGGTTCAGGCATTGGCTCTGGGACTGGCCCATTGCGGGCCATAGCTGCGGCCATGGCAGAGTCGAAGTCCCCATGCAACATCCAATTCTGCCATTCGTCATCGGCCTGCTCGCCATCTTCAACACCTTAGAACAAAAATCACACAAGAACAAAACCCACACCACAAAACTCAGCACTCATTTAATATGTGAAGCAAGGAACCTTCATTGGCAGCCCAGGCTCCAGGATCCGCCCATGGGTCCACACCTGCTTGCTGCTCATCATCAGCATCTGGGTCAGCAGGCCATTCCTCATCTTCCGGCCATACCTCCTGCTCCCGTGCCTCTCCCTGGGCCTCATTCTCCTCGCCCTCACCCGGCCCCACTTCCTCGTCCCACGCATCCTTCTCCGATGCCTCTGCAGCGTGGGCAGCTTCGCCGCCAGTCACGGCTTCCTCCTCCCAGCCTTCAGCCTGGTCTTGGCCGCTCTCAGCAACCCAGGCTTCCTCATGGCCCAATCTCCATCCTCTTCGGCGCCTGAACATGCCACATGTACACTGCCATGTGCAACAGAGCGACGCATCCGATACAATCAATTTCGCCGAGGCACGCATCTCGGCACCACCAGGGTCATCTGTACCATAGATAGACATTGCCACATCACCTAGATAGACTCATTCAGTTAGCATGTTTGGATTAATCACAGCTAAACTGAAGACAACAGGTTTTTGCTTTGAATTCTACATGAGCAAAGATTCCCTGACCCTCAAGCTGCAGCATGTTCTGCTCCTCAACCATATCTCCATCAGTGGCATCCGCAGCAACCTGGCAGATAAAGACTATCAGTGCAGCTATACACATTCCACTGTGTATTTCTATCCAGTAAATCGCCCTGCGCCTCGGGAGGTTCGGAATCGTGCCAATACTCTCCATCAAACCACTGACACGTAGCCTTAGATATTTGCAATTCAAGCTTGTAAGGCTGCCACCCATTTTTGGTTAGATGCTTTTCCAAGCTACGCTTGGATCATCAATTTCCGTTCCACGCTCATCTTCAGCATGCATCTCACCATCTCCTTCCTGAAACACTACAATGTTACTCTTCACATTCTGACACAAACATTGAGAACTGTCAAAATAATAAGGTCAAACACATTCAACCCAACCCCTAGCAAATCAGACAGCGGCGTTGTCAGGAACATCGCCAGCACACTGATCATCCTTCCAATAATCTTCACCATCATGTTCATGTGCCTGGTTGGCAGAATATTGGCCATCATGCTGCCAATCGCCGGATCCATCCTTAATTGGCTTATTTGCTCGATCATGAAAAAACCCTTGCAGTATAATCCAACACGGTCTACTGCAGCCAATTCTCCCACGCAGTTGGCAGATCATCTGCCGGCTCCTCCGAAACCTCGGATCGACCAACATGCTTCAACGAACCCTGAAAATCAACCAAGCTCGAATATACTCCATTATACTGAAAATCCAAGTTCTTCCAAGGGGCATCCTTCGGCATCTCAGCATCGCTAGCCTCAGCTGCCGCAAAATCTATACGGTCTATACGGTGTTTCAAACAATTCCGGCTTATGCGTCTGCACATATATTCGCCAAGAAGCCTCTGTCGGAGGAACACAGATGAAGCTGGGCCTTATGGACAGCAAATGGGGCAGAATTATTGGGGATAACATGTCCTTATTTTTATCGATTGACTACTTGCAGATCTACGTCACTGTTTCCCACGCAGCCGCTTTGCAGGGTGGATCTCGTCCGGCAACTGAATCATGAGAAATCACAGAAAGCACCGTACAAATAACAATTCTATGAAATCACCAGTGTTTTAGAAAAACATTTAATGCAGATCCAAATGGCGCTGTCACTGCTGCTGCGGCCACGTTTCAAGACAGCCTGCGAGTCCTGCCGAAGGTATATAACACCCAGATACAAATTGAAAACTCCAATTCTCAAAAGCAGGCATCAGTCCTGATTGGGATCTAGATCGAAGCAGTGCCACTGTTGTGTTTCTGCATCATCACCCATGGCTCCGGGAGTCTTGGGGGCTTCTGGCACATGTGCAGGGGACTCACCAACCGTAGACTTTCGGGATCGTTTGAGGATGGGATGAATGACAGCTGCTTCATCTTTGGCCCACGCACTGACACTGAAACCAGGTGTAGCTGGCAGTTGCAGGTTGTAGGTCACTGCAATATATTCCAAGCTACCTCTCACGAGTGGCTGGGTAAAAAACGCGCCCCCGCAAGCTCTCTTGTCCAATGCAACACATCACGTGTGGCCTTGTGTCTGAGCGATAGCGTGGGCAAAACACTCCCTGTTCGTGACACCCTTTCTTTGTCAGGTTGAATGCAATGTGTGTACAACAATGCCGCCACCTTCTGTACCTTCGCATCCCTGTCCAACATTGCTCGCAGACCACCTAGATTTGGAATTTTCCTGATCTTAGTTTACGAGGGAAGTTCCTTTAATGAGCTTGCCAAGTGGAACATGTATGGACTAATGATTGCACGCCAGAATTGGCACAGCCTCCTTGGGAGACTTTGGCCCAAAATCCTGCAGTACATATAGCACTGCAAATCCGAATGATCAGCAAGAGCCTGCACTGAATCATCCATGTCTGTGCACACAGGAAACTGCATGGACTAGACCCTGACTTACCAGCCCGCCCCTAGGAACCTAAACCAGATCAGAATCCTAAACAAAAACCGAGAACCAAATTCCTAAACACAGAACCGCACACTAATAACCCACTAAAAATTGAAATTTGCTTCGCTCAGATCGACAACACATGCCGCGCAACAAGCCACGCGCACCGCGCATGATATACCCCAGGCTGCTTCAATGAAATTGGTTCCTTCAACTATACGACAATAACACCCAGTGGATCTGTACCCTATACGTTCGAACCTGAAGTCTATGATCGAGTATACCAGTTCCATTAACGCGAAACTTAACTAAAAACAAACAAACAAATGCAAGACGCGGCTTTCGGGGTAAAACATCGATGATCTAGCTTGCACGCTGGTCATTACAAGTCGCAACCGTGTCCGGCAATCAACTGACTTGCTGCACAAGAATTTACCGCGCAGTCCCCGCCACATCTACATGCTTGTTGTTAGAGCATGGGAACTCGAATATAAATGATGACTAATTATACCCACTTGTCGCACAAAGCAAGCGCAGCCCACTAAAGCCCGAAACAAGAATTCATATGAGATTGCAAGGTAAAACCCACATCATTAAAAGTCATGATCTCAAGCAACCCAAAACAAGGTGTTGCGTATGCAATCTGGCTTGGCTGTTGCGAAATGAGTGCCCCATCCCAACCAGTATTGTTACCATATATATATATATATATCTATCGGGAAGATCTATACTACATGGCTATCATCCTTCTTGCAGACCTATCAGCACGATGCAAGCATGCAAGACCGCGATCCTTATACGTCAGTAACATTAAAACTCCAGGTAGAGATTGGTCGGAAAAAACTTGCACGGTGCATGCATGATACTTCATAAGTTTCTAAGCATGCAGTATTATTCAACCTCGCGCCCCAATCAACCAACTCGATTCTATAGGACCTATATTAAACTATACGCCTTTCTTCCTCCTTTTCCTTCCTCATCCATAGGTCGTGCTCGACCCCTCCTCCTTATCCTTCATTGTCTTTCCGACTGCCTCGCCATGCACTCCTTCAATGTTCTTTGCGCTGGAAATCGTTATCAGCCTGTGACGGTGCGTTCGCCATCAATTCAAACACCGGTCGTCCGTCGTGGCATGTCAGATTGCGAGAACCGCGCCGCGTCAATGGGCTCTGCTTGCTGATGCTTGCTGCTGGTTTTAATAGAGGCCGGCAGCGCTGCCACAAAAACGCCATTCCGTGACTTCACTACAGATTACGACAACGCCGCGCCGCGCCAACGCTCCAAATCGCCGGGAAGTTGGTCACCAGGCCACCAGCTTTGGATGTGACCCTCCTTCCTTCAAATCCTTCCTCCTTCGTCCTTCATTCCTTGCCAGAAGGCGTCCTCGCATGCTTCCTCAACGCTTGTCTGCGTTGTTCAACCTCACGCCTTTTAGGGCCTTGGTAATCCTTGCTTGTTCTCAAGGAAGTCACGTCCTTACATGGTTATACTCCCGGTTCAAAACTCTCGGCTCTACTATATATATATATTATAAGGCTGCCCCGTGTACCCGATCTCACAAGTTTTGGCTTGTCAGCCTCTCCCTCATATCACCATACGTTATAATATAATGCTGATATCCGAAGGATTTCATTTCTGGGATCGAATTACGTATGGAATCTTGCCGAGTTTTTTGAAACAGGAGAAACCAACCCTGAAGCCTGTGCAGCCCTGAACTTATACTGAATATATGTACCTCGATCTATTTCTTGACCCTTATTGGCGTCTGCGTGGCGCAAAAACGGGGCGCCACACAGACTTATCTATTAAAAGGAAATTGGGCCAGCTGGTGGGGGGAGGAGGCTGGAAAAAAAACGGGCATGCATGGCCCCTGCGCAAGGATGGCAAGGATACATCTCACAAATCAGACCC